ATAATTCATACATAAAATCTAAAAGAATAATTGTACCTTTTGATGATAAAAAGTCGTAGTCACAGATATAACAGAGATAAAGATATTAATCACCATAATGATTGTATTAATGTCGAATAGAAAAAACTTCCATTTAAAAAGGGTCATTATATAGTAATAGAGATAAATATAAATAAACCAGACTATTATTGAATATAAAATATTTAAATAAATAATCCACCGAATTCTTGAATTTGATTGTTTTATAGAATAGACTCCTAAACCCATAATAAAGCCCGTAACGAAAAAAGGACTCAATATCTGTTGGATAACCATGGTCATCACTGCTTCATTAAAGTAACACTGACTATCTAAAACTCATTTGTTGAACATATTGCAATTGTACAAATTTGTAATACGATAATGAATTTCTGCAATATATGAACATATATGTAGGTATAGTTCTTTATAGCACTTACTTATATTAAAAAATGATCGATTCATTCTAATGAAATTCACTAATAAATCTTTTATATCGTGTATAAACTATTAAAATAATGCTGCTGAATCACTTTTTACATATTTTTCTTTGTATGTAACATATTTAATTTTGATCATGTCACTGTCATGTGTTTTTATATACCGCAATTTTTCTTAATATATAATATAATATTTTACATATATCTAATAAAATCGGTAAATATCAAGATGACATCGCTTTCATAAATTTACTCCATTTAACTTGTAATTTACTTGATATGATTAAATAGCACGAGAGTAAATAGGAAAAAATATTTAAACATATAATGATTGACATTAGAATTTGTTTATAGCATCTATTTTTTTATTTTATATAAACTTTTATTTAATGTAAACTTATTTTTTATATTTGACATAGATAGAAGATAATATTTTATTAAAATATATGAATTACTAACCACATAATTTTTGAGAAATATAAAGAATTAAATGGCAATAATTTCCAGCTACTTGCAAAGTTATTATTAAGAAGATGCTTCATTAAGAAATACAACTTTATCATGTCTTCTTTAAGCATATTTCTTAATCATAAATTATTTAAAGTTAATTATATTTAATGTATTAAATAAAGTACGAATTATTCTTTTTTTATAATAGAGAGAAAAAAGAATAAGAAGAATAAGAAGTATAAAAAATATATAATTTTTTTTATATTGCTCGTGAAATGGGATAAATATTTATATCATATTACAATGTAAATTATGTAAATTTATCATAATATAAATCATAATAACACATTAGCACAATTTATTTATTGCAAATTATTAATCTAATGTACTAGAATAAAAAATTTTACAGATTGTTATTTTAACGTAAATAGTTATTTTATTAATTATATTTTACAATTAGTCTAAAACGTTTACAATTCCTATTTTTAATATTTTTAAATCTATATATTACTATATATAAATATATTTATAAATTTATATTCTTATTTATATTCTTTTATGTACATATAACGTTTCAAAACATTTATAAATTTTTTAAAGAATCTTGTACACGATATTTATGTTTAATAATATATAGTTACATGATTGGTTTGTCAAATAAAATATTATGCCATGATATATAATAGTTTATACAACTAAATGATAGTTAAGTCTTGATATAATGACATACATAATAATCTTGATATATTATTACGATGTTACTTGATCACATGCCAATTATCTTTAAAAACAAATTAATACATATTTAAAAAAGACGTACTTTCATTTGTATCATAATAATCACATACATTAAAATTGTCGTGCAAAGCTGAAAGAAAATATGTCAATTAAAAGCTATATATAAAAATAATAATTTATTAAAATGTAATAAATTAAAAATTAAAAATTGAACAAGAGAAGAAGGTATGTAGTGAAAAGATAATAATATAGGAATTTTGGAAACAATATTAGACTAATTTACAGAATTTATGTTTTTAATTTAATAATATGATTTAATTATTTAATGTATGGCACCAAAATAAAATAGTGGAAGAAAGTCTATGAAAGTGAACCTTTCGAAGAAAGTCAGTGCCAAAATAGAAGAGACCCATTCCAGTAAATTTTAACGGATGTTGTATTGCTTGCAAAATAAACTGATTAATCTGTAGATAAATAATCATTATTTTAATTTTATCTTATTTATTTTTCATACATTGCTTACCTCTTTCCAAACGTCAGCGTATTGGATAATATTTGTTAGTTGATGAAATATTTTATCAATTCTTCTAGCCTAAAATTTTGAATTTAATATTATAGAATATACATTTACATATTATATTAATTTAATATATATTTTATTGAGATATAATTTATATTTTATAGTTTTACCTTAACCTTAACACGTTCGCAAATATAATTTATTATATAAAGTCTTATTACAAGTATCGAGATCCAGAAGCATATACCAAACCAGTGATATAATAATAAAATCTTCCGATATTGCATTACAAATAGATTTAAACCAAAACATATGAGTGTCATGTTTGCAATATAAGATACCATTGCAAAAGTCATTTGCATTTCGAATATTAAGTTAAATTCGCGAGTAATGCGGCATAATTCTAAATGAAGATGCCTGTTAAGAAACATATTTATTATACAAATAGGCATAAAAATTGTTTTCACATGTTATAAAAACTTATAAAAAATTTTTATTATTGATAATTTTTATAAATATTGTATTATATTTTATAAATATAGAGTTTATATTTTATTCTAATTAATATTGATTAAATTTTAATTAACATTATATGGATCAAAATATGGCATTTTTAAATTTACATTAAGGTCCACAATGTTCGCTTATAATCATCAGTGCAAATAACATATTGAAGAGTAATTATAGATTTTTTCGATTTATACTTCGGTACGTGCTTCGATAGATATTGCATATGCTCGTTTACTTCGTCAAATCTAGTCCCAATATACCTATATATATAATAAATATAATAAATATAATAAATATCTCATTAATTTTTAACTTTCGATAAATCTTTTAATTTTTAATTTTATGTCTGAAACATTATATATGTATTGTAAATATTATGAAAAGATTATATATTAATTTAAAAAATTTTTTTAGGTTTATATTAAAAATGATGGAAAATATCATTTTTTTGATGATAAATACATTTTTTTATAATAATGAAATAAAATTTTGCAAGAAAGAGAGAGAGAGAGAGAGAGAGAGAGAGAGAGAGAGAGAGAGAGAGACTAACAGACTTTATGTAAATCTAAAATGTGTCTAAGTATAAATACAAATAGATATGTATCTATTAGTTTGATTATATATGTATATGGTTATACGTAACATTGTATATGAATACATATAAATACCAACCATAGAAAAAAAATAAATAATGAATCTACGAATGCATTAATATGCGAACAATAGTTTAGTACATAAGGCAGAAATAATGCCCAAGTAATTTTTGATGTTATATCTAGTTTCCATAGTGCATCAAAAGAGTTCCCAATAAAAACGGATACAATCCATCCAATTACTAATTGTTTCGAATACATATGCATCTTTCGATAGGTCTGCGGAGTGCCCAATTGTTCCAAAGTATCATTTATTGCAACAAGTCTTTTTATGCACATTGTAAATTTCTAAAACAATTTAAGATATTTAGACGACATTTTAAAATGTATCTATACATGTATATCATTTTTCCATATTATACAAAACATAATTATTATTACAATACATTATTATGCATAAATATTTAAAAAAGCTTGAAAAGTATTGTTTTAAAGGAATTTTTGAAAGATTATTGCATATATTAAAAATTTTTAAATTATCAATTAATGTAATTAATATTTATATGGTGTATAATATATAGATAATTTAATTATTATTATTTTATATAATAAAAATGTATGTGTACTAAAAATATGCTTTCTTCTACCTCTTGATAATAGATACTCATAATTGCAGATACAATCATAGTGATGCTGTTATTGATGACAGGAATCGAAAGTAATATGGTTGGATATAATATCTTGGATGTAAATAAAGTCACTATGTAGTTATAAACACAAGCATAGACAGACCAAATTATTAGAGAATATAAGATACTTAATTTAGTCCATGGAATCTTAGATGATGATTGTTTCATAGGATAGAAGTTCAATCCCATAATGAAGTATGTAATTAAAAAAGGACGCAAAGCTTGTTGAATAGTTGTTACCATGATCGTCGAGTATTACAAACTAACATTAATTGTCTATATTTCTTATATTTCTTCATCAAGCCCACTGCGTTTATTCATCATAACAATAATGGATTTTCATAATCGCAATATGCATTTTTTACAGCACTTGCGCGTATTAAAACTATTGATTTATTCTTATGAACAAAGGATTTAATTCATTTGTAAATTTTATTTATTACATAATACTGAAATAATGCTATTAATTTATTTTTCGCGTATTTTCTTGTGTACAAGGTAAATATTAGTACCATGAATAATTACCAAAATCGCTCTACGATGTAGATTTTTGTTTTATTATATTATAATATGTGTATGAAAAATGATTAGCAAATATCTAATTTATCTAGATTAAATAATAATGATGCTTTCTTAACACATTAATATGCTTGACGTTCAATAATTAGAAGTAAAAAATGGAGGAATATACCTTAACACATAAAAATATTGAAATTAAAAATTTTAAATATTAAAATTATTGACTATATATAAAGACACAAAAGTAAAGAATTCTAGTGTAAGAAATGTCGTTACTTAATATTTGGTCTTTCATACAATTTTATATAATAAAATGTTATATATTAAATATTTCAGCCCTCACCTTTATGATAAAAACTGTTTATTAATTATTAGTTCATTAATTACTAATATTGTACAGCGAAATTGATCGACTTCGATTGTGTATGTTTGTAAAAGAATTAAATGATGAAAAAATAGAGCGCTAATGTATTGGTTCAATTGTGTATTATTCCACTTTTTTGATAAATGAACTATGTACTAA